AACTTCTCCAGTTCAATTTGCGTCTTGGTTGCTTTAGATGCCATTTTACTTTGTTGGTTGTATGTAGTAGCAAATAATGCATAAAGTGGTAGGTGACAAAATATCGAAATGTGTGGTAAAGTCTTTGTGTATTGTCAGGGTTTTTTGTTATTCCTGCAAGTTGCCTAGCCACCGTGAGTCGAAATGCGTAAAGGAAGCTGGGTTTTCAATGGGTTTTGTCGTGCATTGCTACAGGCTATTGGTAGGGGGTCACTACTTATATGTTCTGGAGGGCTAACAAATATCGATGGAATAGTGCACTAACTTTCATGATCAGAATCTAGGCAACGTGGGCTATGGCACTGCTATATGGATTTTAAGAGGACTCACTCAATAGGTCGCATCAGAGCACATGAACATAGAGAGAGAGTAGGAACTTCTTATACCGGCATACCACACTGTGTCTCAATTAACGTCATGCACGTGAGTACACTTGTAAAACAACCCTAATCAACTAGTAATGTCATTGCTTAAATTATGTGTTTGTTATACAAAGCTTCATCACGTGAATGTCCGTTACTTTTGTACACAGCAGTGTTTGTATGCAGGTATACGCAGTTCCATACTCTCTCTTACGTCCTCTTGGTCTCATGAAGTCTCATAAGTTTTATGTTCTGTTTGTGACTTAAGTAGTAACATAGGTAGTATGTGAAAGAGGCTTAGGCATAGCGAATATGCAGAGGAACAAAATGCTGATATTATGATGCTCTCAATGGAATGCTGAAGCACAGTGTCATGATCGGAATAGTAGGTGTCTTGCACTTGAACTATTGAAAATATGTTACTGCCAGATGTATTCCTATAGTACACATGGTCTATCAGTGTGCCTTGAGCTGTTGTTGGGTACTGCACTAGCTGTTTGAAACTGAAAGTGGACATAACCTTCAAAATTGCAGTGTTTTGCTGATGAAAAATGTCCTCATTAAAATCATCTAATATATTGTGTATGGAGGAGCTAAGTCTCTTCCAGTTGAATCATGACTGGTGTATGGACCACAATGAGGGCTTATGTCCACATGGTGACTGCATGAATCCATTGAATATGGCTAATAATGGTATCACTATATATTTTTCACTTTTGTACTCAACTGCTGGGATTGGCATTTGTCCTCGAATTGCCTAGGAGGAAATTTTAACGTATGTTTTGATCATTTCTTTGCTGTGTTGTGCTTCACACACATACATCTTAATGATACACATACCTGGAGAGTCTTGCTGTTATGAGACACTGTACACAGGGGTATGCACAATGCGAAACATTGTGACTGTAGCCTTTGCAAACCTGCTGTAAAGTTGCAGTCAATAACGTTTCTGTGATACAGTAATACAGCCCTATATTGTTGCAAAGCATGAGTGTGCTCCTCATATTTCCTAAGCAAGTGATGCACAGGTGTTGCCCTCTCTGACAGCTCCTCAGTTTTGGTTGTGACTACATTGTGTGCAGTCTAAGACTTTCCTTTTCGCTCAAGTAACAATGCTGCATTCTTGGCTCTCCATTCACCATTGTCCTCACACTTTTGAAAATTCATGTTGTGAGTAAAAGTGGCGACAATATAGCTAGGGTTTGTGTGGAGGAAAATGTACATGAGCGAGCATTTTCAGTTTTAAATATGTAGCCATCAACCATCACTACTGCATCACATACACTCTGTCTTGTCTCCTTGTTTTTTCCCCTATATTCACCATTTTCAAGCACCATTGCATTGCTCGCTCATTCCGCATCCAGTCATATGCGGCACTGTAGTCCTAGAAGTCTGCAAACCCCTGAACAGACTCTCTCCATACATTTCTATGGCATACCTCTGACTGCATGTGAGAGCAAAGCATAAAATCAACAAAATGTGTACATAGGTTTGTTTAGTTGCTATTTCTGTGATGAACTCTGTGCAGTTGTTGGTGAGCCAAGCACACCTGTACTTAGTCGTCTAAATTCTCATGAATGTATGTATCCAACAACGATGAGAAGGTCACTGTCTCACATACTGTGATGTTTTATGTAGACGAAATTGAATAGAAATTTAACAATTGTGTTCCATGTTCTTCAGTGATTTTTTTACCAGACTGATACAGCATGAAGATAGAGTAATGTTTTAGTGTGGGCCTGTGAAGTGATAATGGTGTCTGATAAGAGATGGGTAGTTGACTGTGGTGTGTGTGTGTCCTCATTACCAGAGATCATTTTTGGCATTCCTATGTACACACTGGTTTTCACTTTTTAGTGATGCCATAGCTTGTCTTGGCAATGTTATATCCATCTGGTTGGACCCTAAAGAACCTATTCATACAGATTTCCTTCCATGACTTCCAATATGTGTCAATATGTGGTGTTAGGTACAGCACTTACATGGTAACAGAAAGAGGCACTGTGATCTCTACAAAAAGGCCACCATAATCTGTTACAATCAGGACAACCAAACAATAGTATGTCCTGTTATGAACATGCTTGTATTTCTCTTGTATGAGGTTTGTATGACTGCTCTCTCTTGATATCTCTCTGCACAATTATGTCACATTTGACTTTCTCCTGTATATCTCTCTGTCACACTTTCTCCTATACTCAGAATGGTGCTACTCCACTCTATATGGCCTGTCAGAATGGACACAAGCAGACAGTTGATGTTCTGTTGAAGAATGGAGCAAATGTTAATCTGACCAAGACAGTGAGTTTAATTAAACCCTTGTGCACATGGACAATGAGGGTTATTGTACTATGTCTGGAGTGTGTGTATGTATCTCCTTCTCTCTGTTACCCCACAATGTGCAACACGGGGGCCACGAGTGACACATGCGTACACAGCCCTATTATGTCGCCACCTTTACTCACTGACATTAGTAAATGGTGTAAAGTGTGAGGACAATGGTGAAGGGATTCTGTAGATGGCTAAGAACGCAGCATTGTAAAACTGGTTAGTTGAGCGAATGTGGAAGTCTTAGACTTCACACAATGCAGTCACAAATGAAAACCGAGGAGAGGGCATTACCTGTCTAATGTCCTTATGAAATAAATCATAGCTGTGCATCATACAAGGGAGCACACTCATACTTCACGACAATATAGGGCTTGTATGGAGGAAATTTTACACGAGCAAGCGATGTCAGTTAGAAGTATGTAGCCATCATCCGTTGTCCTACTGCGTCACATTCACTAGGTCATCCCTGTCTTTGTCTCTTGCTTTTTCTACCATCCCTATGTTCACCATTTCTTTAAGTCAAAGTTTTTTATTTACTTGGTCTGGAGTGTGGGACTAAAAGTGATACCAACAGATTTACCGCTACAGATGGCTAACTCCAATTAGCCATTGACCACGCAACTGTTATGACACAATAGCAAGTAAACACTCGTTACAAGGAGCTGCCTTGACTAGACTCTGCCGTATCATTCACCATGAAAGCATCAGACGTTCCATGAAAGGTGAATATGGGCTCCTGTGTTGCCTTTCAGTATTGGTCAGGGTCGCCAACAGAACCAGAAATGTATTATACACGTAATTTTTTATTTCCAGCAGAAGTAGTTCTGTAGGTGTGAGTACTGCACTTCCTGTGCATCTCATTACATATTCACTCTTTGTTTTCTTTCTGCTTACTGCTGCTAGAGCGATGGCGTCCCTAGCCAAGGAGAACAACATCCATCGTCATGTGTACTGTGCAGATTTTAAGGGGTGAGTCTGCATCCAAGCCAAGCTGCATTCACTACGGCTGGCACCGTCTTTTTGAAGGACCTGTACAAATTTTATACGAATGTTTTTGGTAAAGACTTAGGGACAAAAGCTTTCACAACTTAGACTAGATTAATTCTACTTCTCAGGGAAAGAATAAAACGCACAAAATCACACAAATTTTGATTCGAAGTTACTTGGACACTGTCGACACAGCAGTATGCTGTCAATGAAGGTCTTCCATGTATAGATGATGCCAGCAATATACCTTCGTAGGGGAAAATTTCAACAGTCAGTTTTCTTGTGTGTCAGAAAGTACATGGCAGTGGGATTTAGGTCGTGGACACACAGAGCACGGGGGAGAGGTAGTGTTGTACCCAGTCTCCCTCTGTAAAGTGAGGGGAGCCAGGATATTAAGGATAGTATGATTGTAAGTGACCTAGACTCCGTTGACAGCAACATACCCCCTCCCTTGCAAAGAGAATTGAGGTGACAATGCCCCACACACCCCCTCCCTTGGAGGTTGTGTGTGGGGCATTGTCAAGAGACCTGGTTATATGCGATTGCGAGTTCGGGTTTTGGCTCGGTGCTGGCCTTGACCAGCAGGAGTGGGGAGGGGCCTAGGCTCCAAACCACGAATGTCTGGCCATGGTCAGCAGCACATACCAGTGACAAAGCCTTGTGGGGATGAATCTCATTAGTTCAGAACCACAAGTGCTGCTCTCCTGGTATCCTTTATAAACTCGTGATGCCAGAGAGAGAAGTTGCGGTAGATGCTCTGCTGCGAAACAGCTGTCCAGAGCTCCGCATCTTTTTTCTCTTGGCATCACATGGTCTAATACCTTCATATGAAAGTATCCTCGCTTTTGTAGAGTGAGTCGAGGAACGAGGGTTTTATGTATTCATACGTAACTTACAGAGCCCTTCAAGGCAGCATGTGATCACTGCATTGTGCAAAGAGAACACTGGACAGGGTATATATGGTAGCGTAGGAGTCTAACAGTTGTGTACAGAAACTGCACAGTTCATGTCCGGCTGCAACACTGCATTATGCCCAGTGATCTAGTCACCACATTGTCAGTCTATTGGCAGTCCTAGGACCATGCAAGGGATCTAATGTCCGACATAATTCTAAACTCACCTACGTTTCTGCATGCACCAGTAACTCTAGCGTTCGCTTGATGTAGGGCGAACAGTGCCACAAGTAGCTTTATTATGTCAATATATTATATCCAAAAGCCAATTTAACCGTACTCTTTGTGAGTGACTGGTTTACTCACAATGATTCCTGTTTTCTTTGTGAAGGTTGATCTTCTCTCATCTCCTCTGGGGATAGCTGCTGGAAAAGGTCACACAGAGATTGTGGAGAAACTGATATCAGCTGGAGCTGTCATCAACTACCAGAACAAGGTATGAGAATTTCAGCCAATTAGAGAGCCTCTCCTCTATTCTCTCTCTTCTGGTTTCCAAAAAATTATTGCAAGTAACTTCTGCCCTTTAAAACTAGGGGGTCAAAGGTCAGTCAGAGTTTTGTGTGTGGGTGGTTAACAAGGCAACAAATTACGTACATGTTTGTGTTACTCTCATTGTCTTTTAAAGCCTTGCTTTATAGTGAGTTCTGATATCTGATTGGTTAATCAGAGGATTGCTATTGTCTTTACACTATTCAACGACTAATAGAAATCCTTCCCCACCGAGCATATACATAGCACTTTAGTCTATTTGCGTTCACCTGAGCCCAGCAAGTGGCTTTTTTATATGTTGATACAAGTACCACATCCTTTTTAGGCACACTTTTCTTGTGGGACATAATATAGCTAACTTTTGACTGATAATCCTTGTCAGAATGTCAGTAGACAGTCTAATATAGGGATTGCACTCTCACGTGATCCGCGTACAAAATGCCTCCAAACTGTAGTTAAAATCCTTTACACTAAAAAGAAACATTTACACATCTTCAGTATTAGTCAATGCTTGCACTGTTGGTAATATCATGTGTTGCTCTGAGATGGCTTCCATCTGTCAGTAGAAATTCAGTGTTACATGTGTAATGAAAAGCACTGAAAGTGGCAAACCCTCGGCGAAGTAGCTCGCGAGAGTCTGACCACGGCTAGCTACAGTAGTAGATAGCATGCGAGCGTCATACACGCCATTCGTTGTGACTTCTTGTGCCTTCAAGATAGACAGAGCAGGTCGGGTGTCGTGCTAAATATAAGCGCATGCGCATTATCCCCATCGATAAAATGGCGACTACCGGCATTAGCCATACATCTGGAAGCGCTCTAGCTCTGTAACGGAGCACTTTCAGATAAACCCCACATATTTTCTGACCTTCGTCGCCGTTGTAAAGATGGAAGACTGTATCGTTGCTGGGACAACAGACATTTCAGTAGTGCAGATAAGTAAGTACACAGACCCACAAACCCACTACAGTAACAAACCCTGCTGCTGCGCATAGGCGCGCCGGGGTTAACAACCATACTACATATGCTACATGGATCTGACCACCAGTCCATGCTGTCTCACTGACCTCCTGGTTGACGTGATCAGCCGGGCGAAACTCCACTGGGTCACAAATCCTGGTTCGGTGTGTTCCAGGATTGCCCACTTGTTTACCACATAGATAAGTGCAGGTCAGATGTGGTATTGCTGATTCTCACTGACCCATCTTCTGAATGGGGCAGACCAGGTACTGGCTGCAATCACAACCGACAGGCTCTTCTGAATTATTTTCGAGTGCCCAAGTTTGGCCTGCGTTACTAATCCTTCAGATGGGGCCTCACATCTACTCACTGTAGGCTGGAACTGAAATGTTCCTTTGTACCTCGCTTTAATCTTAACTGTACAGTTGGTAACTGGTTGCAAAAGTAGGTAATTCCCTCAGCCCGTAAGAGTAACTCCTCTCAGTTTTAGTTGGTTGAGCTCTCTGGCCTCAAGGAAGTCCCAGCCCTATATTCTTCTGTGGTGAGAGGACTAACAATAGCCATCTATGGGTATGTCGTTTCCGTTGAGCTGTAGGTCAGCAACGTGGGTCTTGAGAACGGAGCCATCTGCACCACAACTCCAAACGTTGGTTGGGTATCAGTGTCGGGAGCCTTGATGGGGAGCCTGATGGGGAGGTTGAGATTCCTTCTCTCCGCCCATGCTTCTTTGTCCGAGTCAGGGTGACTGCTGCTGTCCATCAAACGTGAGGTGCGACGGCCACTAGTTTTCGTTTTCGTCCGTAGAGCTTGTTCCTCCTACAGGGGCGACAGACTAGAGATTACTGTACTAAGAATGAGCCGTTTCTCATGGGTCGGCTGGAATTACAGGCTGAAAATTGATATATTATTATGCAGACTCTCTGAGACATAATATTATATACACAACAGGGTAGCACTTCATTGGCTGAAACCTCTCAATTTCCTGCAACATCTAAACTGTTCGTTAATCAGTCAGAGAGCCAGAACTGGTTTCTCGCTACACAACTACTGCTCTAACAACCTGTCCACCATGACTCATCTTTGTGCCCATCATGTGCTTGTCACGTGTCATTTCTTCCTTGGTATGGTGTAGTATGGAGATGGAGTGTTAATGTTTTCATCTTCTCGCTTCCTCTCCATTTAGGGTGGAGCACTCCACTCATTATGGCCATTTTGCACATGGGCCCTGGAAGTAGTTAGACTCCTGCTAGAATCTGAGCTAAAGATTCTACCTTATATGCGTAATAGAGGCTATACCAACTTTAATAGGTCACACAACACATCTTATGTTTGAGTGTCTGAACCTAATATTAGAGTGATTGTCATGAGTGTTGTGTGTGACTCTGCCGTGTGCAGCATGGCCACGCCATCATAGCAGTGCTGTACTCTCGCACATGTGTCGAGTGCACCTACCGCATGCTAGACGCTGACGGCAGCACCCCATTGCATCGAGGGTTTAGTGCTGTCCATAATGTGGTGACTGTCCTCGTCAGTTCTTCAATGAGTGGTACTTTCCTCACCTCTCAGGACTGGCGTCCTGCCATGAGTGTTTCGCAGAGCTCTGAGGTCATCAGCAAATAGTCCAACTTCTACTACAACGCAGTACCAAGTTTTAAACTACGTCTCTCGACTCTGCTCTTCTAACACTGTAGCCTAGTTCTATAGCTAGTACATCACGATTATCAGCACTTATCTTCTACAGGAGTAGCTTCTACAATATTTAAAGAAAGAACCTCTACTCACTCTACTTAGTACTGTAGCTTATCTGCTTTACTATACTCATGCTCAGACTTACTGTTCCTCCTATTACCACTTTTAAATACGGTGTGGTGTTGCTATTTTTGTATGTCAGCGTAGTTATGTATACAACTGTACTCGTTTGGTTTGATTTTGCTACAACCCATGATATCAGAGATTTGCATGCTAGATGAGCCTTGCACAGAGGTAGATGCTCATATACAACCACCATGTCACTCGTGACGCGCATGTGCAAGTGCTGTTACAGTTCGTGGTGTTGGGTATTGGGGGAAAGATAGTCCTGACGATAGTTTGGGAGTCGTGTGCCAAACTCACCGCATATGCTGCCTGTGGTCTGAAGTGTATGGCCATCATTAATAATTGTTGACAACCCCTCTGAACCCTCTCTTTCTACTGGGAGAATATTGGGCCTATTCTACTCTTATGGTTTTCTGTCTGTGCAACTAAGTTGTCAGTATAGTAGGGACATAGACTCTGCAGCTCAGCAGGGGCTAACGTAGAGAGAACAGAATGCATGTGTGTCTACACAACAGACACTCATGAGTAGGACACAGAGCAGACCTTAGAGCTGGTGATGGAGGTTTAAAGATCTTTTGTATGGCAACCCGCCAACTCTCCGCTCCAATGTCACAGACTCGTACTACCATACCACTACAGAATTGTATTGACAATCACTACCTTTAGGCTCTCTGGAGAATGTGTCTACGAGCACAGTGAGGTAATTTAGGGGGGTGCCATAGTGATCTAAGAGGGAAGTAGGTTGGTTCTCTAGGGCCTGTTTACGTTATTACGTTTCAACACACGTGCGACACGATGCGATATATGTGTGCGTGTGCCCATGTCTGTAGATATGTACTGCTTACACGATATATATAGGCGTATGAGGTGGCAACTGCCAGGGCCGGAGTAGGGCTTGTCGGGT